TATGACGCTGGCCTCATAAAATGAGTTAGGGAGGATTCCCTCTTTTTCTATTGATTGGAATAGTTTCAGAAGGAATGGTACCAGCTCCTCTTTGTACCTCTAGTAGAATTCGGCTGTGAATCCGTCTGGTCCTGGACTTTTTTTGGTTGGAAGGCTATTATTGCCTCAGTTTCAGAGCCTGTTATTGGTCTATTCAGGGATTCAGCTTCTTCCTGGTTTAGTCTTGGGAGGGTGTATGTGTCCAGGTCTTTTGCTATTTTTAAATGATCTTTGTAATTTCATTTCTGATTATGAAACTGGCACATATTTACCATATAGAAAAATATAGGAGACCACAGAGGAAAAAATACTCATGATTTCACTTTCCAGAGATTTAAGTGTATAAGTTGAGTATCCCTAATCTGAAAATCTGAAATACAATTTATTGTTAAGTAGTGATCTCATGTCCTGTAACCCTGATGAACTTATTAATTCTAGTAGTATTTTAGTACATTCCTTGAGATTTTCTCCATATGAGAACATATAATCTTCAAATAGAGGTAGTTTCACTTCTTCTGTTCCAATCTGGATACTTTTATTTCATGCTCTTACCTAATTGTCCTGGCTACTATCTCTAGTACAACATTGAATAGAAGTGGTGAGAGTGAATGTCTTTGTATTATTCCTAATCTAAAGGTTAAAACGTTTGGTCTTTCACCACTAAACATGATGTAAGCTGAAGATTTCTCACAGATGTCCTCTCTCAGGTTGTGGAAGTTTGCTTCTATTCCTTGTTTGTTGAAAGAATACTGAATTTGTCATATGTCTTTCCCACATCTATTGAGATGATCACATTAATTTTGGTTTATTTTCTACTGATACTACATTAATTGGTTTTCAGATGTTAAACTAACCTACTATCCCTGGGATAAATCCCACTTAGTCATCATGTATAATTTATGCAGATGTTATTGGATTCAGTTTGCTAATATTTTGTTGAGGATTTTGTGTCTATATTTAAAGACTATATTCATTTGTAGTTTTCTTGTGATGTCTTAGAGTGTTGGGGTAATACTGGCCTCATAGAATAAGCTGGGAAGTGTTCTCTCTTCTATTTTTGGAAGAGTTTGTGAAAAATTGATATTAACTCTTCTTTAGATATTTGGTAGGATTTAGCAGTGAACCTGTCTAGGCCCAGGCTTTTCTTGGCATGTATTTTTTTTTTATTGCTAATTCAATCTCTTTAGTTTTAGAAGTCTATTCAGATGTCAGTTTTGATGGCTTGTGGTTTTTTTTTTTCCAGTATTTAAAGCTATTGCAGACTTCTAGTATGTAGTGGTTCTGATAAGAAATCTAATGTCATCCCTACATTTAGTCCTCTGTATGTAATGTGCTTTTTCTCCTTTTATTCCTCTTAGGATTTTCTGTTCATCACTGGTTTTGATCAATTTGAGTATGGTGTTCCTTGGTGTAGTTTTCTTCATGTTTCTTGTCCTTAGGATACACTATGTTTCTGGGATATTTGGAGTTTATGGTTTTCATTGCCCATCCATGATAGACTGGATAAAGAAAATGTGGTACATATACACCATGGAATATTAAGCAGCCATAAAAATGAATGAGATCATGTCTTTTGCAGGGACATGGTTGAAGTTAGAAGCCATTATTCTCAGCAAACAAATGCAAGAACAGAAAATCAAACACCGCATGTTCTCACTTATAGGTTGTAGCTGAATGATGAGAACACATGGACACATGGGGGAAACAACACACACTGGGGCCTGTCAGAAGTGAGGAGTGGGGGTTGAGGGGGGAGAGAGCATCGGGAAGAGTAGCTAATAGATGTTGTGGTTAATAGCTAGGTGATGAGATGATCTGTGCAGCAAACCACATGGCACATGTTTACCTATGCAACAAACCTGCACATCCTGCACATGTACCCCTGAACTTAAAATAAAAGTTGAAGGAAAAAACTAAAAAAGATTTTAAAAATCCACTTAAATCTCCATACTTGCATCACAATTAAATCAAAATTAATTACAGTACTAAATGTAAACTGCAAAACTAGAGAACTTACAGTAGAAAACATAAGAGAAAATCTTCATGATGTGGAGTTAGGCTAAGTATTCTTAGTTATCACATCAACAAAACGATTAAAGAAAATATGATCAATTCAACTATATACTAATTAAAAATTCTTGGTCAGCACAAGACACTATTCACAGAATAAAAAGACATGCTACAGATTGGGAGAAAAATATGAAAATCACTAATATGACAAAGAACTTGTGTGATAGTTAATTGTGTGTGTCACTGTCACTGAGCCCCAGGGTGCCACGACATTTGTTCCTATGTTATTCTGTGTGTGTACTGGAGGCGGGATCTGGATGACATTAACACTGGAATAGGCAGTCTATGTGAAGCAGATTGCCTTCCCTGAGTGGGCCTCATCCAATCAACCAAAGGCCAGAGGAGAAGTAAAAGGCCCAATAAGAAGGAAATACTTCCTTGGGTATCTGCCTTTCCGTCTTGGGAATTTCAGCCTCCAGAATCTCATGACCAAACTGTGTTTATATACATACACATGAACACAAACACAAACACAGACACACAAAACACACACAGACGTATATGCCATATACATATACATGCATATATAAATATATATGTATACACACACACACACACACACACACACACACTTCCTAGGTAAGTAGGAAGGATTGCATTTTGTAAAGCTCAGCCATTCAACGATAATTGTTGAAGTCGGCTAGTGATTATAGGGATGTTCTAGTATAGGATTCTGTCTCCTTTTTTATACTATTGAAGTTCTGCATTTGAAGAAGTAGGATAGAATAATAGCTGAATTTCTCCACATACACGTCGAAGCCCTGGGGATTAACACAGAGTTGAAAATACCACCCATAATCCTGCCCCCAACCAGGGCTAGAGAACTCTGGGGACTCCAGGTGATTTTATTTAGCCAGATCTGGGAGCCACATAACAGCAGAGGGAGAGGAAGCACCAGGCAAATAGAGGCCAGCACAGCAGTGAGGGCCTGTTAATGACAAAACACAGGTAAAACCTTCCTCAGAAAGCGAGTGTGGAGAAACACAGATGAGGCCTGAGACCTGGTGGATCAGAACCCTGCTACTGGGGTATTGAAAGGCAGGGGCTTCACAGTGCAGAGGACCAGAGGGGCCAGTCTTCGAAGGGCAGAATTGCTGGGAGACGGGGAGGCCTGGACAAAGGAAGCATCCTCTGGAGACTTGTGAGGAGAATGAATGAAGTAACTGGCAGAAATTAAAGGTCCTGCTTGAACAAAATACAATCCCAGAATGAGAGCACACATGCCTGTTCCCCAAAGCCAGACAATATTTCCTAAAATCCCAAGAAAAAATCATTTTTGCCAAGGACCTTATATCCGGTGATGCAATCCATGTATCAAGACATTGGGAAAAGTTTATTATTAAGTATGTTAAAGTCAGTGAGACCTGATTCCCTCATGAGGACTCTGTTAAGGATAAATTCCACTCAACGAGTGATGCTTAGGACACACTTTTGAATAGCTCATGTGCATCAACATATTTACATGTAGATCTCAACCAAAAACCAAGGTGTCACATGGGCTGTCACTTTATGTTTGGGTTAAAATAACAAATAAGAAATGGCAGGTAAAGAGGTTAGAGAAGAGGAAAATATTGTCTTTGATTGTCATAGTGGTAAAAAGTTGAAGTTGAAAGAAATAATTTAAAATGTATAAACCAAATAGTAGAAATGTGTCACGTTGAAAGGGGATTAGTGACATCAAAACCTGTTCAGTGCATTGTTAAATGGGAGCTATACAACTCTTCCTAAATAACAAACAAAAAGCACACACACATACACAAACAAAAAAGAAAACAAATAACATCAACAAAGAAATCCAGTAAAACAATCTACCACATATAGTAAACATAGACTAAAACATGGAAGAGTTTAGAATATAAACAGGGAAATAAGAATGTTTTTATTAATCTAAATTCATATCCACCAAAATCAATCATAATAATAAAAGCTTAAAACATTATACGTAAAAAATCCAATAGTCCAGAGTGAGAGGCAAAATGTTTTAATGAAACAGATTTAAAACTTAAACATTTTTAACTGATGGACTAAAATTAATTTTGGATGCAAGTTAAAATTGGGGCAGAGAATATTGTTTTTCACAACAGAATGCCAGTGAAAAGAAATTAAAATTAATTTTGGATGAAAGTTAAAATTTGGGCAGGGAATATTCTATATTATGAAGAATGACAGCAAAAGCAAGGATAAAGTAAGATTTCGAGATAGAAAATTTTCAATGTACAAACATAAATATAGTAACTGACACAGGCAGGGGTGATTAATTGGTGATAAAATAGAGGAAGATTGTTAGAATACAGGATGTTTATACTATTTCAAACCACTTTCCAAATTAATTATAAACAAGGTGTCTTTACAAGGGATAGAGCTGCTTGTCCCCTCCTTTAGCAAGTGACCATCCTAGTATCACAACAATGGGGATGGACACACTGGGCCTTCTCTACCTGCAGATGGACTGAGGTAGGAAGCTCACAGCATGGACTCTGCAGTGTTCCTGGCAAAATGTTTAGGCTGAATTTAATCATGAGGACATTTTCAGATAACTTCAGAATGTAGACCATTGAGCCAGACAGCTGACCTGTCCTCTACAAACAAGTCCATGTCACCATCCTCAATGACAGCAACAAAAAGATGAGGAGATGTTTTGGGTTCAAAATGACTAAAAAAGCACAAGCTACATAGTCTTTTTACTCTTTTTGAGCCCAAAATGTCTCTTCTCCTTTTTGTTGTGTTCTTGGTGGTGACATGGACTGTTTGAAGGAGACAGGTCAGTTGTCCTGTTCAATGTTCTACATTCTGCAGTTGTCTGAGGGTTACCTTCTATGAAACTCAGGCTAAGCATTTTCAACAGGAACATGGTATTGTTCATACTCTGCCCTGGCAGAGTCCTGGCTGACATGCTGTCTCCTGCCAGCAACTCCTGACTCCTGTTCTCTACACGATGGGAATTGAGAGGAGCAGGGCTAAGGCCTGTGAATGTTGTTTGTCCATCTGGGCATTGGTCTCCCTAGGTATTGATCACAATTGGAGGGGGATGGACTGTGGCTTCTCAGATCAAAGGAGCATAGTGGGTTGAAATAATCAAGAGTGTTCTGTGTCTAAAATTCAATCCTCAGTGAAGGACCCCTGCAGGGTTGTGTTTGGACTTGAACTTGCTTTGCTGTTTTAGTTGTTTTCATCAAATGGAAAAGCTACTTTTTGTGACATCCTTTCACCCTTTGCATCCTTCCAGCAGTATTTGGTATCTGTGGGGGAGAGAAAGAAAAAATCAAATGAGCATTTTTTGTCAGGTCCTCCTGGTGGCTGAGTCTGGAGGGGTTGCTAAGTAGTGTTATCTCAGGGGCAAACTGATCTCCTGCTGGGAGGATGAGCTGAAGGGTGGGCCGTGGGTTGGCTGAAGGGGGAAGCGCCATCCACAAGTGAGAAGAAAACATTCCTGAACTTCCCTGAACTTTCAGTCAGCCTGGGGTGCAGGATATAAGGACCCCACCTATGCCCAACCAGCAGTGGGGAACATCTGTCCCTTTCCTCCTCATCTCCTCTGTCTGGAGCAGAGTTATGACTTTTCCTCCCAGTGAGGATGTACTCAGCATCCATCCTGCCTGTCAAGAAGCAGAGAGGAGCAGAAGGAGAGGACCTTTTGCAGAGAAATCCACCCCATTACAACTCCATGTGCTAGTTTTCTAGGGAGGAACGGGAGGGCCATGGGAAGAACCCTGGATATGAGAAGCAGCAGGAACCTCAGACAACATACACGTCCAGGTCCACCTTTTACAACAGAGGAGTAGTGATGCCACAGGGGTAAGACTGAACTAAGGGCACATGACTTGCTATTGACAACCCAAGAATTAGAATCTATCCACTAAGGCTGTTTCAATAAATACTGGAGAAAGCGAGAGGAAAGGCTCCAATCTGGAGGTCTCAACAGTCATGAGAGGCAGTTGGGTCACCTTGACTAGGACAGGAATAAGGTTCTAGAAATAAATATGATGTTGCTGCGCTTCTTTGGTTGGTTAAAAAAATAAAATATATATATAATTATAAGTATTTGTCCAAAGGGGATCAGGAAAAAAAGGGAATTTAAATAGAGACTCAAAATGGAGTTAGTAAAGAGAGAGCGGGGACTGTAACCATGGCCCAGCTTATTTTCCCTAATGCCCTGAAGTTGATTCCACATCTTATTCCACCTTAAGGCATTTCTAGAAATATTCTCAGTATCTAGACCAAGAGAACTCTGAAGCAGAAAGAGAAAAGGGTTAGTTTGTGTTTTACTACAGTCTCCCATCCTATTTATTGTTTTCCCCAAGTACATTTTGGGAAAGGTTTGTTTTTAATATTTTATGCCAGTGTGAAGAGAGGCATGAAGAAGTATTCATACACAATCTCCTGCAGAATTTCAGTCTTACTTTGTTATTGTATTCTCTTCAGGAAAAGTGAGACCAATGAGTTCTCTTTGGGGATTTCATGGAAGGTTAATAATTGACCAAAAGTAAAATTTTCACATTGCAGTGGTGAGTCCATTAGTGGGCTATAAAATGGTGTGGAGAAATGTAAACTGGAAGTTTTCTTTTAAAATGCAAAAGAAAATACTAAATTCCAGTATATGTAATGTGGGAGGTATTATTTCTCTACATTAGGTGTTAATATAATGACTATTACTTATCTTTTATTCAAAATTGAGCAAGTGTGCTTCAAGCAGATGCTAAAAGTCTAATCTATTAATTTTCTTGTTTTTCTTGTTGTATTTTTTTCGATGCTTTACAAACAGCACTACTGAGAGCAGAATACAGATCCCATGAAAGGCTGATAGATACTCAGCCTTTTTTGTGGAATAGGCACACGTATGCGACACTTCCATGTCGCTAACCTGAGGTCACAGTAGGCCACGGGTCCTTCTCATCTTTAGCCACATATTAGAGTCACATGGGAGCATTTTAAAACTACAGATGCTCAAACCACACCCCAGGCCATGTAAGTGAGAATCCCGAGGTGTGAGTTGAAGGGATTCATCTTAATTGAAATCTCACCAGGTGCTTATTACATGGCAGCAGGATTTAGAGATACTAAATGGACCAGCCCAATTTCCCATCATTTTCTTCCCTTTCCCCATTTATCTCATGATTGGCTTTGTTCCCAGTGGTTCCATGGATTGTAGCCTTGTCTCTGACAATTTCAGTTAAATCTCTCTCTTATCAATTGGGCTGGGCCAAAGCAAACATTGTCCTGTAGACAGATTCTTGTCTGTCGTCTTGTGTATGCATAAAGCTGGTCCTGGAGTCACTTTTCTCAAAGTTAATTCATAAAATGCTCTCTCATATACGCTGGCCTCAAGATGCATTTTAGACTTGCATTTTAGACCCTTCACTGGACTTGTAGAAGTGGAAATGAGAATAAAAAGGAGAGAGGTTAGAATGATGAAGTTCATGATGTATGCAGTTTTGAAGCCCTGCCTTTGCATGTACTTTCGGAGTGATGTCCCTTTAAAATGTGATAAATGTTCTCCAGTTATCGTCAGCTCAAGTGAGTCCATGAGGTGAGAACACTGAGACCCTGGCAACCCCACCCATGTTGACACTAGGCTGCACATCTGGGGCTGAAGACAAACCTGACTCCAGGCCAGTGGGGAACCCCCACCTGTGACCCTGGTTCTAATTTAGTTTCCTAAGTGGGGCTCTTTGTGCTTAGTTTTAACACTTCCCGTTGAGAGGAACAAGTGATGATCAAGTTTTGACTTAGTTGGGTTGCTCAGAAGAAGACTCAAGAGGAAAATCGATGTGTAAATGATGTACTAAAGCAATGATTTCTGCAGAAAGAGGCAATGGAGCTGGGAACGATGGGAGGAAAGTTAAATTTCCCAAGAGAGTGTGATTTCAGGCAAACGACCCTGTGTTCAGCAGCTTAAACTATGCACTTGGATGAGGACAAGGAGGCCTGGCTCTCCTGTGGCCATGAGAGGGGCTGTCAAGACACTAGAAGAAGGAATAGAGCAGAGTTCTGAGAGCAAAGAGGACATGAGGACAGAAAGGGCCTGTCAGGGTGGGAACCCGTGGGACACACAGGTAAGACCAGACATAGGTTAGAGCAGCTGTTGGAGAGAACAAACGGGTGAGAAAAAGCAGTGGGAGAATGAGCTGTCACCATAGACAGAGAAATAAGGAGTGCAGCTATCAGCCATAGATGTGATTACCTCTGCACCCTAAGCTTGCAGGCCAGGGAATCTGCATGCCAGTCTCCACTTGCTGAGCGGGAGTTTTCTTTTGATGATCTTTGGTTTCAGGACACTGGAGGCATGAATCTGGCCAATGACTTGACGCCCTTGTGTGTTCTCTGCTGAGCCTTTAAGTGCATCACCTCCCAGCTGGGGAGGGTTCTTCATCCCCAGGGAGGGCTCTAAAACCAGCTCTGAAAATAAAACCACAGCCAATGGGATCCACTGGCACCCACGATCTTACTGTGACTTTCTCTCCCACCCAGAGGACATCAAATCAGGAAAGTGGCCTTGGAGAAGAAAGTCCAAAGGGTGAGGGGAAGCCAATAGAGTCACTTTAATATTTTCTTTTTTCTTGATCTTTCCTACATTACTGAGCAATGGTAAGATTGCCAGGAGCCAAAGGTACTGCCAATTCACAAAAATATTCAAGAAACATAGGATTAAGAAACACAAGTAGCTTCCAGGTAGATAAGGCAAAGGCAAGGAAATAACACTGTATGTAGGCTATGCTTTGGGGAGAGCAGAGATTACAAAAATCAAAGTTAAATCAGAGCTGGGTTCAAACAGGAGATGGGAATGGAAGGGCCTGGCAGGGTGGCAGCCCATGTGGCACAGAGGTGGGGGTATGAGAATCCATAGAGAAGCAAAGGAGAGTCCAGTGGGAAGAAATCAGTTTAAATAAGTCATCCCGGCAAGTGTCAGGGACTGCGTATCCCCCGACACTCCCTGAGCGCCTTCCATGTGTCCTCTCCTTGGGCCCAGATGGTGCTCGTTATCTCACGCAACCCTCCCTCCTCCTGAGGACAGGGGTCCCCTCATTCCTCAGCCGAGGCCATCGCCTGACAGATGAGCACCAGGCAGCCCCAGGGGCTCCAGGAGGAGATACTGAGTGGGGCGGAGAGTGAGAATGAACACGACCCAGGGTTTTAAGGAAATCTGAGCAAAAGTGGATCCCTGTGAGACAGAAACTGAGGACATGGCCGTGGACATGAGTGGAGAATTTAAACTAAATGGAATTTCATAAAAAACACTGATGTGAACACTTTCCATGTGAAAGTTGCCCTTTTATTTCAAAAAAAGCAGGAAAAAAGGAGAGGAAACTGGACATGTCAGGAGACTGAGTGTGGGCCCAGGATTTACACTGTTACTCAATGTGCCTCATAGGTTGTTACTGAAAGTGCCTGATAGGGGAAAATTGGCTTCATGAGGGATGGGGAAGGACAGGACGAAAACTGGCAGAGGAGTCTGTGTGAGAAAGGAAAGGAAGAGGGGCCCTAGAAAGCAGAGATCTTCATAACTGCTCTACCTCAGAGGACACATCATCCGTGAAGTCACTTTCTAAGTGTAAATTGAGCTGAAAGATCTTAAAAGGATTAGATAACACCTATTCATAAGTTTATTGGGCAATTCTTATGGAATCAGGCCCTTTGCAAATTATCATAATTAATATTCCCAACAATGATTGCAGGTAGATATTATTTTTCAGGTATCTCAGATGAGGGAACAGAGATGTAAATAGCAAAAAGACAAAAACCTTGGCCAAAGTCAACAAGCAGAAAGTGGCAAACCCAGAACCTGACAGCAGATTTGGTTCTAAGCCCCAGGCCTTTGCTCATCTCACTGGGTTGTAGCATCGTGAATTTCAGCTTGACCCTGAGGAAGCATGGGAGGCCCCATTCTCTCCTGCACCCACAGCACCGTGACCACCAACACCTGGATTAGAGCTTCATGACTCCGTTTCCTTCCCTACCTTGGAAGTTCCATTGGTTCCCAGAATCAGTGTTGGCTGTGAAACTGCAGGTGGTGGAGGAAAGGCTCCGCCTGGCCAAGCCATTCCCTTGATCCAGCTGTAGTCGCAGACAACTGGGCACCAGGGTGCTTGGTTCCAGCTGTGCATGTGCCACCTGCACCTCTGACAGGTGGTGGCTTAAGTCTGCACTCCAAGTCCCTTGGGGACAGGCCATCTTGGTGGGAGCTGAAAGGAGAAGGCGCTTCAGTAGAAACAATCTGAGTTTTCCCTTTGTTAAGACACCCAGAACACCCATCCCTGATGTCTCTGCTGTCTGTAAAGCCACCCAGTGACCCACGCCACACAGACAGACATCATGTCAGTGCAGGCGACGTCACCTTTCCTGTCTGTGCCTGGGGACGCTGACACAGCAGGGTCCCAGGCTGGGGTGTCCCTGAAATGAAAAACCTTTGCTTCAGCCCAGAGGGCTTTGGATTGTCTAACAAGACCATCACGATTATTCTGTTGTTATTCAATTCTTTCTTGTGACAAGAGGGAAAGTTCTAGAGAGGCCTCAGAGCACAGGAGAGGAGGAGCTGTTTTTCTTCACACACAGGGATGTAAGAACAGGCCAAGAGTTAGAGCTGCGAGGCTTTGAGAAAGAACCACGAGAAAGGGGGCTGGGAGGCTACAGACCAAACACTAACTGAGGCAAACTTTTACGGGTTCTGGGACACTTTGAGTTTCCCATTGACTATAATGGTTTGACCCTCTACCCACACATATCCATCCTATTGCCATATAGTGGGTGTCAGCAGACAGAGGCAATGTAGGAGAGGGACCAGTCCCTTCCCGGAAATTCAGGGGCCACAAGAGCCACAGATCAGCATGTGCGGTTCCTTAGGAAGGCAACAGAGGACACGATCCTCACATTACCCACTGCTCCAGTGGGGTTCGGGTGGCACCCCTTAAACAAATTCTTTCCATTTCCACAGGGAGAGGAACACACATTCTGAGTGGACTAAGAAAAGACTTCCAATGACCTCACGCCAGTCCAGGTTGGGCTCAGGATGGGGACGGGGCCTGTAGGGCTGGATCCACGTTGCTGTAGGGCTCCTGTCTCTCCTCCCCTCTCCACATCCTCGTTCTCTGCAAGGTTTTCTAAGTTTTCTTAAAAATGCCTCAGTGCCCTCAGCTCTAATATGCAAATGCCACTGCCTGCTTGGGAGTGTCCTTTGAGCCCTGAACAGGTTATAGCAGGACAGAGCTTGCTTGCAAAGGGGCAGGACATACAGCAGGTGCAAGGTCAGTGTGTATTTTAATTGTTTCATGAATCACTGTGATTCTAGAAAAGCATTTGCTGTTTTGAAACTCAGGGAGAAATGCAAAATGGGAAAGGGGATGGTCCCAGTAAGAAAGGCACTTACTGACCAAAATAGAATAGAGGCCAACATCTTTGTTGCTAGTTTCTTTCTTTTTGTGTGTGTGCCTGTGTGTGTGTGAGTGTGAGTGTGTGTGACACAGGGTCTCACTTTGTTGCTGAGGCTGCAGTGCAATGGTGCAATCATGGCTCACTGCAGCCTCAACTAACCAGGCTCAGGTGACTCTTCTACCTCAGCCTCCCGAGAAGCTGGGACTACAGGTGTGTACCACCACGCCCTGCTAATTTTTTTGTAGAGACAGGGTTTCACCACGTTACCCATGCTGGTCTCAAACTCCTGAGCTCAGGCGATCCACCTCCTTGGCCTCCCAACATTCTGGAATTAAAGATGTGAATCACCACACCTGGCATTTTTGCTAATTTCATTACAACATAATCCAATATACTGAGGGACATCACAGAGTTACTTGCTCTTACTAGAAGATAATGTAATGGGTAAAATCCCCAACAATCCACATCAAATTCCCAGAATTGAAGTTATAAAAAAGAGAATGAGCAAGAAGAAATGAAAATTGGATTTTGTTTTTACACGTCCTGTGAAGCTGCTATCTCAAGGGGCACTTGCTCAGAGGAAGGGTTTTCTGGACGTCGTGGGGACAGGAACCACTCTGCTTTGCTCATCGGTTACGCCAGAACCTCATGAGGGGCACTAGTTGTCGATGGTTTTCATGAGAATATAGCACTGAGACCAAAACTTGATTGAAACTAAAACCCACACAGGGAGAAAACCACTGGAGCTCTGCAGAGGATGCAAGCCTGACACGCATAAAGGAAGGGATGCTGGACTGCGTCAGTGGAGGGAAGACCCCCTCGGAGGAAGTAGAGCCTCAGTGCCCAACCTTTTTAGCACCAGGGTCTGGTTTCATGGAAGACAATTTTTCAGGGACCAGGGTAGGAGGGATGGTTTTGGGATGATTCAGGCACATTACATTTACTGTGCACTTTATTTCTACAAATATTACATTGTAATATATAATGAAACAATTATACAACTCACCGTAATGTAGAATCAGTGGGAGCCCTAAATTCGTTTTCTTGCAACTAGATGGTCTCATCTGGGGGTGACAGTCACTGGGAGACAGTGACAGATCATCAGGCATTAGATTCTCATAAGGAAAGCACAATCCAGTTTCCTGGCATGTGCACTTCACAATAGGGTTCGAGCTCATGTGAGAATCTAATGCCCCTGCTGATCTGACAGGAGGTGGAATCCAGGCTGAAATGCTCTCCCAACGCTCACCTCCTGCTCTGTGGTCCAGTTCCTAACAGGTCATGGACCCATAATGACCCATGGCCTCAGGGCTGGGGATCCCTGAAGAAGAGAATCTAGCTTAGGACACAGGAATCATGAAACAGGCCTCCAAATAATCGGGAAAAACTCCCAGCATATCTGGATGGCCAGAGAAGAGATAAGGGCATGTAGTTAGCAACATAATTTCAGGAAAGAGAGTTTCCCTATCTTAAAGAAGGAGGTCTGTTATATAAATTTCTTCAGCTAAGCTACTGTGGCCAAGACTTTGCAATAAGTCCTTACCACACCCCTCTCTGGCCTGTTTTGATAGCCACAGCCTACTCTTGTGAGAAGGATCCAGGTGACAGAGGAGTCACTTGGGACAGGAGAAGAGGAAGTTCTACCCAGTGGATGTCTGTGCTTAAAACTGGACCCAAGAGCCAGATTCAAAACAGGATCAGTGTCTAGGGCCTGCCTGCAGAGGTGGTCTCTCTGAGCTGCACGAGTTGCAGAAACAAAACATACAGAGGCTGCCTGGGATGACAGTGGATCTTTGTGAGCTCCAGGATGGAGTACTCACAGGCTATATCCAAAGCAGAGCAGGCAAGTTGATCCTCCAATGAGGACAAGGTGCTGCTATAAGGCTGGTGGCAGTCAGACAGGTCACGATGAACTGAAGGAGTCAAGTAAACTTCATCCACGGAGTCCTCTGGGATTTCCTGCTCCTTCACCTCTGGCAGCTCCTGGCTGAGCCTGGGGTAAAGAAGACAGAAGATAAACGCCAGAGAGAACCAACACCACTGCGCCCAGCTGGTTCTATAGGGAGGCCCTCAGGAAGGCCCAGAGGAAGCAAAGTACAGTCCCCTCAGGGAGATACAATCATCCTTCCCTGTCTCGAGAAGGAGACAGAGCGTGAGAGGCTTTGAGTGCACTGGGCAGGAAATGAGCTGGGGAGGAAGGAAATGGAGTGATCCCTGTGGGAAACTGTTGCATACATTTTATTGAAATTAGCATCATTGGCCAAATGAATACAGACTCTTGAGTCTTCACAGAGTTCCTGTATCCTCAACATCTCTTGTTCTCAACATTGTAGCATGACATGCATTATTTTCATTAACTTTCCTGCTGTCAAATACTTGTAAACATGGTACTGTCTAATACTTGTAAACATGGTAATGCCAAAGAGGCAGACATCAAGTGTGCAACTCCACTTTAATCAAAAAGGACAGAAAAGGGGACTGCAGAAAATGTCTGTGACTGATCAGTTCAACAGAGTCAACTGAATGCACATTAGTAGAATTGAAAAAAATTAGTAAGAAGGAAATACAAATATAGGTGTACAATGAAAAGAGTCAACCTTATGAATACGGCTATTTCATGGCTGGCTGAACAGATGGAACAGGTATATTCTGCATGCTCTGATTTTCCCTGCATCCGAGACTCCGGATATCAACACTGAATTAACTGTCCCTGATTCCTCAGAGTTACCTGGGGCACGGTGGGTCTTGATCTTCTAGCTCCTCTTGATCCTTTTCAATTTCTGCAAATAAATTCAAACAGAGACAGACACATTAAGCAGGTTCTCCTACACACACAAACAGGCCACTGTGCAATCCTAACATAGGAACATCAGTTTCCTCAGTGGGAGAACAGGACAGTGTGAGAGAAACATTCCAGGAGGCCTGAGGCCCTGTCATGAGAGAGATGCCTTGGTTTTCTTCCCTGAGCCTAGGAATGAAATCTCCCTGTTCTGGTAGATCATTATCCCAACATCAACCGTCCTGATTTTGTGCAAATAGTTATGCAAGTTTTTCACACCAATTCAAGGCAAACACCTCATCAGCTTTCTAGAAGGAAAACTGCAATATTCAGCCTTCAGTCATCAAATACCCACATTGTTCATGGTGGCAAGGAGTTTAGACACTGAAATTTGAATGAAGGAGAGAATATACAGACCCTCGAATCAAAATGAATCTTTGGTACTACAAAGAGACATTGGCGTTTCGTGATATCTAGGAGTGACAAGGCCCAGTCTTGTTTCTAGACACATAACAAAAGCAAATGTACTGCTCACCTAAAACAGGCCAACATCAAGGACACAGAGAATGAGGCTAGGTTCTTTAAAACCTAGGTAATATCTTTAACGAAAAGTAGACAAAGATGCCACTGGCCTTGGGCAGGAATAGAATCTCAAAGGACATGGCTGGGGAAAGAAACTTGTAAGGAACACAATAGCTGGCAAGACGAATCTTATTCAGATTAAGAGGCCTGACAGATACCTGTTGGGCATGTGCTGCGTAGGTTGGTGTGAATTTGTCAATGTCATGACAGTGGGCCAGGGTGACACAGGCCTGGTCTGAGATGAGGAAGAGAGCAAAGCTCACTGACCCAACCCATGTCTGTGCTTCCAACTTGATTTTTGATTCTGATGCAAATCATCCTGTGTCTGTGAGTCATGCCCACCCCAATGACACGTCTCAGTCCAGCCAGGGGTGCAAGGATTACGGAGTCTACCTGGGACACCAATTGGAGATTTATTGTGGTCACAATGGAGTACTCACTGTCTACGAGAGCCAAGCTGACTTGCATTTCTTCAAAACAGTACGAAGTGCTCCCATAAGGGCGGTAGGAGTGAGGTAGGTCAGGAAGGATGGAAGGAGTAAAGCAACATCCATCCAGTGACTCCTGGGGGACTTCACGCTTGTCCCCCCTCAGTGGTCCCCTGCTGAGCCTGTAAGGTAGGAAGGAGTAAGGATTAATCCAAGGAGTTTCAGAGCCCTGCTGGATTCACGTGAGGCAGGAGGCAGTGATGGCAGAAATCAAATGGGGCAGCCCATTAAAGAGTTCAATATTCTCCTCTTTGTGGTGGGTCACAGTGTGGTTGCCATGGGGTGGGTTGCAATACAGACAGAGGGAAAGAGAGATGAGAGAGAGAGAGAAGCATCAGGAGCTCAGCGAAGTGGCCAGATCACGATTTTCTGAGGAAGGAGACTGAGTCTCTCTGTATGGTGCAGTCGTGACTCACTGAATATCCTGTTCCATAACGGTGGCTTCATTCCTTTCTTTTAAATGGTGTTAAATTTCATGTGTAGTGACCAATTAAACATAGCTTTTGAGGCATAATAATATCCCCGAAATCTCATGCCATCAAGTCCTTCTTCTCTCATTACTATATGTGGTATAATAATAATCTTTTTCTACCTAATTTCCTTACCTTGAAATGCTTAGCACTGTGTTAATGCAAAACAGCAGAAAGCAGATATGAATCTCAGGCTGGTTGAAAACATGAGAAGAGATAGCTGCTTTACAGAAATCTCTGGGACTGATTAGTTGTTCACAAGATAACTGGTTTTATGTACTGAACCTGAGAAGTTAATACAAAATGGCCAACAATGCAAGTATCACAATGAAAATGTAAAACATGGTTAGAAAGGATCATTTCTGGTTGGCTGAAGGGATGAATTAGGTATATTCAGGACTTTCTGGTTTTCTGGGGATATGAGTTCCACAGGTGTCACCCTGAATTGAGAGCCCCGATTTTTTTTAATTACCTGGGATCAACTGTTCCTTTTCCTTTCACCTCTTCAAGATTATTTTGCTTTTCTGCAAGTATATTAAGAGAAGACCAGTCACATGAACTTGATTCCATTCATACATGCACAACCTTGTGTCCAAATCTACATAGGGGCATAAATATACTCGGTGTGATAACAGGCTATTGTGAGAGAAATTTTCCAGGAGGCCTCAGGGTGAGCCTTGTGAGAAGTCACTAGGTTTGCTTTCCTGAGCCATGGAGCAAATCTCCCTGATATGACAGGTCATCATCACAGTCCCTTCTGTCCTGAGTCACAGCAAAATGTTAACCATATCCTATTTACTAACAGATCCTGGAGATCTACTTAAATGCTTCCTAGCAGGTTACTGCAGTATTCAGCATGTTTCCTTCAGATAAGCTGTTTTCGGTGTTTTTGTAGAATGTACATTTAGAGGGACAGATTAAATCAAATGAATCTCTAACGCTACGTGGATACACTGGTCTTTCATGAGGCAGGGAGTTCCAGGGCCCAGCCTCCTTTCAGAAACATACAAAATCTAATAGTGGTGTCATGTTCTGGTACTCACAGACCTCTTAGCTAAGACAAGCCTGCTAAAAGGGGAGGGAGTCTAGCCTGAGAGAAGTGAACGAGGGTAATGACAGCTCCAAGGATGTACATAAGGCTGCCAGTGGCCTTGGACAGGCAGAGAAACTCAGGTTGTTTGGGAGGGAAAATTAGAAGATTTCATGTGAGATGACAGATTAAATCTAAATCAGGAGGACTGGTGGATACATCCTGCACCCAGGCTGCAGAGGTGGGTATGAATTTGTCAGGTCAACTTTGGGTACAGTGATTTGACAATGGGGCAAAGATGAAGGACAATGTGTGGTTTTGGACGAGGATGGAGCACAACTCTGACTCCTAGGATGCCTTCCTTCAAACTCAATCCTAGAGCCTGGTTCTAACCGGTGTGTAAGCATATTGTCTTCCTGAAGGTATGAAATCTGTCATTATGGACAGATTGTGGGATGCAAAGAATAGGGAGCCTACCTAGGAAGCCAAGTGGGGTTTCATCCCATTTGGATTTGGAGTAATCCCTGGCAACATCCTGAACAGAGCAAACTTTCTCTTCATCCAGTGCCAAGAAAGTGACTTCATGATGCAGGTAAGAGTTGGACATGTCACAGTGTCTAGAATGAGAAAAAACACATTCCTCTGGCAAGTCCTTCAGGACTCCCTTCTCTTCAGAATCCTGCAGCTTCCTGATGAGCCAGGTAGGATAGGAAAGACAGCCGATTAGATCAAGACAGACTCAGCACCACAGCATGTCATGTGATTTGATGGGACACAAAGGGAGTGGTCACAGAAAGCAAAGGGGGGACAAATGAGCTGCTGCAGGAGACCCAGACTCTCCCTGTAAACTAGCAGCATGACTTGCAGCAGAGAGAACTAACACGGGGCTTCACTTCCTTCACACAAATGGCGTTGATATTTACATGCAGCATCCACGTGAACAGAGCTCTTGAGGCATTCCAGACTCACAGCTGCTGTTTTTAAGGTCCCCCTTTTTCAATATTTTGATATCATATGAAATTTTTTAAAAAAATTTTCTGTCTTGCAAACTAAGTAGTTGCCAACATGCTGACACAAAACATTCAGAAAGCAGATATGCATGTTACTCTGGATTAACCACATGGGAGACCACAGGTGAGATCAGGAAATCCCTGAGTTTAGTCAGTTCACCTGGCTCAACTGATTGTCGGTTCCCATGCTTGAGATGGATTAAGAAATTGAAACCTATTCAAGTACCACAATAAAGAAGATAACATTGTGAAAGGGGTAATTTGCAGTTGGATGAATGGATGAGACAATTCTGTTCATCACTTCCTATTTTCCCTGGATCCGTGGTGTCCAGGTGTCACTACTGAACCAACAGCCCACAAATCCACAGTTACCTGGGGGGCACTGGCGCTTTCCCCTGTTCTTCCTCATGATCATTTTGATTTTCTGTAAACAAATTCAGAAGAGCAGGTCACAGTAAGGAAATCACACTTCACAAGAAGAAATCAGTGCCCCGTCAAGGCACAAGAACATAAATATCCTCAGTGTAAGAATGTGACATTTTGACAGGAAGGTTCTAAGGCGCCCTACATTAAGTCTTGTCAGAAGTCGATAAGCCTTCTTTCCATACCCATGGAGCAAAATCTCCCTCATGTGGTAGATCATAATCACCTCTCCTCTGACATAAGTCTGTGCCGACAGTTAAACAAACTTTTCTCACAAGAATTCAAAAAGGCCCTAACTACTCTCCAGAAGTGTTGTTGCAATACTGATTTATCTTATCATATATCATGGTCAATGAACGGTTCAAGAAATTTATATAGGAGACTGAACTGATGGATAAATTCTAACAACCCTTGCAGAAAAAAGAGTGTGGTGCTACACAGAAACACTGGCCACTCATGGGGTGATGAACTTAGGGCCCAGCCTTATTTAGGGAAACTTCTAAGCAAGATAAAGGTAGCAGTGTTTATATCCTGCTTTCAAGGTGACTGCTTAGCTGAGACAAGCTGATTTAAAGGAGACCAAGTCTGGGGCTGAGAACAGTGAATCCAGAGAAACAACATCTCCAAATACACAGGCAAGACTGCCAGTGGCCTGTGACAGGCATAGAAACTCCAGGTACATTGTTCAAGGACACAAATAATTATTGCATGTGACAAGAGTCATAGGAACCGAGCCAGGAGACCTGACAGCAACCTCCTGTACACAGATGGCTATGACTTTGTCACACCTGCCTGTGGTCCAACATGCTGACATTGGGGCCAGGAAGACAAAGTGATGCCATGGGACAAGGAGTAGAGGAAAGTTCTCTGACCCTTGGATGGCTGTGTGCAATATTCCCTCATAGTTTCTTTCTTTACTTTTATCCATTTATTTCTTCATTTCTTTCTTTCTCTTTCTTTTCTTTCTTTCTTTCTTTCTTTCTTTCTTTCTTTCTTTCTTTCTTTCTTTCTTTCTTTCTTTCTTCCTTCCTTCCTTCCTTCCTTCCTTCCTTCCTTCCTTCCTTCCTTCCTTCCTCTCTTTTTCTTTCTTTCTTTCTCTCTCTCTGCCTTTCTTTCTTCCTTTCTTTCTCTCTTTCTTTTTTTTTTTAATTGATACAGAGTCTCTGTGACTCAGGCTGGAGTGCAGTGGTGCAATTATGGCTCATTGCAGCCTCTACCTCCTCGGTTCAGGTGACTCCCTTGTCAGCCGCCCAGGTAGTTGCAATGACAGGCATGCACCACCATGCCTGGCTAATTTTTCATATTCTGTGTAAAGGTGGGTTTCACCACATTTCCCAAGCTGGTCTTGAACTCCTGAATTTAAGTGACCCACCCACCTAGGCCTTGCAAAGTGCTGGGATTACAGCCATGAGCCACTGCACCCAGCTCTGTCTTAGTATGTAAATCAAACCAATATGTATGTATGCAGCCTGTCCTCAGAATTGATCTTCCTCAGCCTAGACAGAGGCAGGAGGGACAAAGAATAGAGAGGCTACCTGGGAGAATGTTTAGAGCTTCCTTCTCTTCATCATGAGAGGGTTCATTCTCTACAACCAGAGCAGAGTCGACTTTGTCTTCCTCAGATGTGATTTTGGTGCTCCTGTGAGGCTGGTTGGAGTCAGATGGGTCGTGACTATTTGAACAAGTGACAGCACATTCCTCCAGTGAGTCCTGAGGGACTTCCTTTCCTTCAGCCATCTGCACCTCCCTGATGAGCCTGGTGGGATAGAAATGACAGAAAATTAAACCAAAAGACATAGGACCCCAGGAAGTCCTACTGGTTTTGACAGGAGGCATAAGAGAGTGGTCTCAGAAAGCAAAGGGGAGTTTCCCTTTAAGAAGGAACAGACAATCCTCTCCTCTCTGCAACAGAGCAGAGAAAATCAGAGAGGAAACAGCAACTAGAGATCATTGCACTGGGTAGATAGGAGGTGAGGAAGGAGACGGCTCTCTCTGTATGGTACAGTCTTGAGAGCACACAGAGACTAAAAACAGCTGCCACATGGTGTGTCTAAGCTGGGTTGTAGTTAACATATGGTGACCACGGGATTGCAGGTGTTTGAGCCATTGTAGACTCCAGAGATGGTGTGGCTTCTAATTTTTTTTAAAATTTATATATTGTGCCATGAAATGTAAACTTTTTGTCTAGGTGCTTTTCTTTGTGTTCAACTTTGCTAGGTACTTCCTAATTCCTCTCCTTGTTGCCTCTCTGTTATTTATCTTTCCGTAAAAGAACATAAAGTCTGCCATGTAGAAAGCAGCTTTGCGCCTCCTCATGGCTTTCACTGCAGGGGAGAACAGGTCTCATCTATGTGTGCAGGAAGTCCCTTGGGCTGTGTGTTCATCTAGGGTCATGCTTACGGGTACCATGAAGACAGTGGACAAGCATGTTAACAGGGCTAGTTCCTGTTGGGTGAATGCATGGAATCAGTGGACTCTGCAGCTTTCTTATCCTGCATCTGGAATCTGTAACTACCTTCACCCGACTTGTGTTCTTTCTGAGACCCTTTTCATATTTTACCACCCATTACCTGCTCCTGATTATTCAGTGTTACCTGGGAGCAGGTGATTCCTGTACTTTCTCAACCTCCGCATCTTTCTCATCTTCATCCTCATCTTCATCAGTTTCTGCAAATACAGAAGTGTCCATTCAGATATTTCCCACTTCACCTATGCAAGCACAGTGAGCCCTATGTGCATGGACACATGAACATCTATATATATGGGTCTGCACTGTACTGAAAGCTCTCATATTTTATCTCTAACAAAATGCCCTGGAATGGTTTCCTGATCCATAACGCAATCGTTTCTGATCTTGGGGGTCACCATCAAGATGTGGCCAAATATTGAAAAGACTTTTTCCTCTTCACATCACTGCAGGCTTGTCCAGCCTCTCTCTGAACTTCAGCAGCTGTCTCCCCAGTCCTCCCACAGATGTGATTCCCAGGCACAGGCTCTGTGTCCTGTCACAGCTCGCATTTAGAACCTGTATCTTTCTCTTAGAACAGGACAAACAGCCTTGTCCCACAATACTCCGTACATCAGGGACTTCATGGGCCCCCTACGTGGCTTCGATTGTGTTATCCAGGGACACTGTCTCCATGGGGAGTGCTCCAGCCTCAACCACTTCCTACTACCAAATGCCAGCACGTCAAGAGCCTTCTCCAACAGCACACAGCAAGGGGCTTTATCTCATTGTGCAATATAGTCATAAGTGTTCCCACATTTGAATGCCAGAGACAATTTGTTTGCCTTTACAGATTTAGCGACAGAAACCCAGGAAGGATAAATTAATCATTTGGGCATAGTTGCTAAAGACATTACTGAAGATAGAGCCTGGGAACCTTCACTCTTAGTCCGGGTCTCTTTTCACTCTAACAAGCTGCCTCCTGTCACAGCCTCCTTCCAGTCCTTTAAAACTGGACGAATGCTGCCTCTTGCTCCAAAGACCACGTTCCATCAAGAAAGGAGGAGACATTTGCAATACTGTGACCTCCAACCCCATGGGTTTCCCATCTCTATTCCTACTCAGGAAGTCCTGGTCATGTCATGGCCACAGATATTTACTGGAAAGATACTCTACCCATAAAATTGTCATTGTGGAGGTATAGAGGTCTGGGGACTTTCATAAGCCTAGAGCTGTGTGTTATCAGGGCCTGTGGCCACCTCACCTGGACTGAGCTTGTGGAGAAGGTGCTCTGCCAGCCGGCGCCCCTCAGCCAGCTGCTCTCGGAGGTCCTGACCCTGGAACTTGTCAAGGTCATCAGGAGTGAGGAGGGCCTTGAAATGCTGATTCAGTGAACGGGAGGCATCTCTCCCTTCCTGTAACTTCTCCCGTAACTGGGTCAGCTCTCGTGCCTGAGAGTGAACCAGGGCTTTATATTGCCTAAGGTGAGATAGTAGAGAACATTTAATAACGGAAAGGGATGAGTGATCAGTTCTAATACTGCAACAGAGGTTTCTGTGAGAATGTCCTCAAGGAGCTTTCCAAGCAGAAGGTCAGCACATATTTGGGGAAATGTCTTTGTCACGGAGAAAAATACAATATTAACAAAATATATATATATTTAAGTTATACATATGTATATATTTTTAAAGGGTTCCTCTACATAAGAGAGTGCTCCTGTAAGATCCTTGATGATGTTCCATTCATCTTTCTTTTCTGTAAACAAAAGCTGGTGTCTTCCTAGATCAGTTCCAAATGGATATCCTTTCAGTTCCTCACTTTGGCCATGGACATTTCTATATGGAAATTCACACAGTGCATCTTGCAGTGACTTGAACTAAAGCCACGCATAGAAATGTGACCAGGTGCAAATGGGGTGGATTTGAAAGATGTAGGAAGAAAAAAATGACAGGGTTAAGAAGGCAAGATTGATTGAACGAATGACATGCGGCAGTCAGTCAGGAGGTGATTCTAAGAGTAAATGGGGTGGTGATCACACACCATTTGAGTGTGCTAAATGCTGCTGGGTGGTTCACTTTCTTTTAATTAACTTTGGTTATGCAAATTTCACCTCAACAATGCCTTGTTTTAAAAAGAGAAAACAAGGTTCAAGAAACAACTGCAACCCATAACTTACTAAGATGACTGTTCTCTGTTTTATAAATGTTTGTGTGACATGTGCCTGCCATGTAAATGCCTGCCCTTGTCCTGGCCCAGCTTAGCTCTTAGTTCTCCCAGCTGAGTTGCTGCACTTCAGAGATTCACACCACTGCCCATCTGCCTGCCCCCAACGGGGCCTACTCACCCGAGCTCCTCAGCTTGTCTGAGCTTCTCTGCCAGCTTCTCCACGAACTGCAGTTCATCCCTCAGCACAGAGTCTATGATGTCTTTGTACTCTTCACACTCTGAGAAAAGACAGACACACCTGCCTCAGAGCAAGGCTGGACATGCTGCTGGGATCGCTACTGACAGGGCAGGCAGCAGCATCCATCCCAAGGACGAAAGCAGCCCCAGTACCAGGCTCCAGGCGGGCATTTCCACATCTTTATTTATCAACCTCCCAACATTCTAGCAACTGATACTCTCCAACTTAGAGATGGGGAGAAAAAAACTCAAGGGCATATCAAGTAACTGGACAAGATGATCCACCTGGAACAAGGCAGAGTCAGAATTCACAGCCCCTGAGGTCTGACTCTGAATCTTGGGACACTTTCCCAAGATTTAGAAGAAATAGATAATGTTAAGTCATTGCAGCACTTTTCTGAGGTACATATTATTATAGTACCCAATGAACAGGTGAGGAAACTTAGGCACCGAGAAGATAGGCAACTTGGATGGAGCCCAGGAGCCCAGGGTCCCTGCTCTGCACACGACACTGCTACCTCCACAATGTCTTATGTGCCAGCTTTGTTCCTCTTTAGGAATAAGAGCCTGTGCCCCAGGAAGCAGGACTTCCCTCTCACCATGGTACTCCCTGCTCTTGATGCTGTCACTTAATGGCTGCCACAGTTACTATTAGAAGCAATCTCCTCTTTAAACTCCTTAGTGCAGGTGCTGTGTACTGTCACTATGTTTCCCCCAGGGTGCCCAGAATAGAGCTTTGGCTACTGGGCCTCAAAGAAGTCTGAAGTGAATGGAAGTTCATTAGTCCCAGATGTTTAGACCAACAGACTAGATGTTATTTGTCTGCAACATCTTACATGGTACAGAGAGGATTCTCATAAACATGATTTAGCCTCTTGCTGAGAAGAACAGGTGGTTCTGTGCCTGTGTCAGCAGTCAATATGTTGGATTTTAACTCTCCTCTCACCTCACACCAGACTGCAAATGTGGAAAAGTTGCTAAATACTTTGTGCCTGTGTTTTCCATCCTTAACACCATGAAGTTAAAAAACCCATTTCTATTTTCCTAGAAGTATGGGAAGGATGTCATTAATTTTGATGAAGAGACCGTTCAGTTTCTCAGAGAGAAGACAGGTGATCGGTCCTCACTTTCGTGATGGTGAATCTATAGAACTTACTGTATTTCTTCAGCTGGTTGGCCAGGGAGTAGGCAGTAGCTTGAGTTATAAGGAATTTCTCTTTGAGGTCTCGGAACTGCTGATTGCTCTCTGCCAGCTGGGAGCGCAATTCCTTGTTGATTTCTAGGATGTTCATCTCTGCCCTCTCGCCGGACAAAGGGTCGGCAGATACCACCATGCTGACGTTTGTGGCAGAAGAGGTAGAGCCAGGGACTGGGGAGAAGAAACCCAAACACATGATGGGTCAAAAACTAGTGAAATCAGTTAGGTATCATTAGGACTGAGAGATGACAATAACTGGAATTGTTAACTTACAGTTGAGAGAAACTTGATCAACACCCACAACACTTTAGAGTCCTTAACCGCAAAAACAGGGTCCAGGCTGCCTGAGCTCAGAGTTGAAGGCCCTGCCTATAGCTCCAACTCTGACAAGAGTGAGGGAGGTAGCAGCCAGCGTGCCAGGTAACGGTCTGCAGTTGCAATAACAGAATTCGAAGGTGGGGGTGTCGTGGAATCTTAGGAGCCCTGCATTCCAATTGCCCAGGATGTGCTGAAACACTAGGGCCCTGATCTTACCTGAGGGTCACTGATGGGGACCATTTCTTCAGCAGTCACTCTCAGTGTTAGTGCACCCTTGTGACAATGCTACAGGCCCACCTCTTTCCCAATACATCTAAGCATGTTCCTCATTGCTCATCTCTTGTGTGTATAAAATCATCAAGGTAGAGGTAGTTTCCCAAAAGCTTGTATTTTCTTACTGGTAGTCACAAAATCACTCTACCTTCTCTAAGTTGAATCAGATCCTAAGGCTTTTCCACATGTGAAAGATATCAGACTTAGACTGCCATGATATCCCCTGGGTCTTCTGCATTTTTTTTTTTGTAGCTACTGAAAAGTGAATGAATGATTCATTTTTAGAAAATATTTTCTCTCCTGGATCATTATTCCTCTTGCTGCATCCCATTGTTATGTTCATTTATTTTCTCTTACTGGGGCAGCATCTTGGCTTTTCATTACACTTAAGACCAGTTTCACATCCCTATGTCCATAGCTCTTCCTCTATATGTAGGTTGATTTGTTTTTTTAATGTCACTGAACACTCGTTTCATACTTGTCACTTACGAATATCATTCTGGTCCCACAAGAGCTCTTTTCAAGATATCAAGTGATCAAAATCATTTGTACATATCCCCTGAAAACATGTGTGACCGTGTATCTTGGAAAGTCTTGCAAACCTGATGCTATTTTGTTGTTTTTAGTTTTCCCATATATTGGAAAGAATAGGGCCTGGAACACTTCTCAGAGAATATTGTTGGATATATCTATATCTATCTCTATCTCTATATCTATATCTATCTTTATCTATAGTTGCTCTAACAGTGTTGATGTCTGGTTGCATTCCACCTGGCAAGATCAAGCTCACGATCTGGTGTGGTTGGTGATCCTCAGTGTTCCTGTGCAGTAGAAGGTGAGTTTGAGATGAGAGGGTCGAGTAGGGGAGCGTGCTCCCCTAAACCACCTCCTCACTTTCTCAGCTTCCATCCTCAACCAGGTTTTGTGAGGCTAGGACTTGGGAGTTTGTCCTGTAGCCCAGGTCTCCTAAGTGTGGCTGTTGGACTTGCCTGAGTTGAGGGCGTGATGAGTGTGACCACGGGCTACCCAACATTCATGTGGAAGCGAAGGGAGGAGGACTGGATCAATCCCATTGGAAAGCGCTCCTCTCAGTAGCCCGCACTGTCCTCTAACTACACTGTGTAATGACAGTGCTTTGAGATGTATTAAAGGCTGTAAATTTATCTACTCTCTGATGTCTCAGAGACCTGACATTCTGTGTCAGAATGAAAATCTATTTTCGTCATTTTAAAAATGATGAAACTGCAGATTCACAAAGTTACGTGGTTTACTTGAGGTCACACAGGGATGAGTTTTGAGCATTGCCAATAAAAGGAATCACAATAATTATTCAGTAATTATTTATAGAATCCATGTAATTCAGTAAATAGTCACAAAATTATTTATTGACCAATTCATACTAAGCATTTTGTTCAAAACTGTACACATGCTTGGATATCATATTTTCATCATAATCCTTAAGGCAATGTTATTATCCATAAGAAACAGGTAAGAAACCTGAAGAAGAGGGATAGCAAATCATGTATTTGGCCGTATTCCTATTTTTTGGTTTCTGTGATGCTGGAAGAATGACCAGAATGAGTCAGGAATGCTCAGGAAGAGCATTCATCCCTGTGTCATTTTCTAGGACAGAGGTGTGCCCTCCTTCAGCACTGGGACCAAAATTCAGAAGTGTCTGTAACCTTGCTTTAACAGTGCGGGAAATAACCTTTATTACCTGGAATTTCACTGGAACTTTGGAATATACAAGGGAAGTATGACACCTGGGTCTTCCCTTGGCTGTATTTATTTCACTCTTCTATTGAATACCAATGATTCTCTTTAAGACTTTGCCTTTTCATAACCACAATATATATTTTATGGAGAAGATTTTACTGTTAGCTCTATTTAGAATGAAGAAATATAAGCTATGGTTTAGGTTTTATGTCCTGGACTTAATATTTTTTCTGATCTCTCTTTTGAGATTAAATTCTCATGTAAATAGAAAAATGCTTCTTACTACTTATAAGAGCAAATTAGTTATTGGTTTGAGTTTCTGAAGTCGAAGCACAAACTTTTGTTCTTAATCTTTGTCCCCATTAGTGCCACTCATTGTCTCTCAGTATGACCTGGCCGTGCTTCTGCACTTACCGTCATCCTGCTGAACCATTTCCATCCACTGTACAATTCGGGCTCTTCCCAAAGCTCCCTGAGATGGGTCCAGGTCCCAGGATGTCAGACACCTTCCAGACACAAAAGCAACCCCTTCTGTAGAGTGGGTAGCTGGGTTCCCACCTCACTGAAGTTGGCAGGGATGTCCTAGGGTAGGAAGGAATGTTTTACCTTTTTAGGGGGTCTTGTCTTCATGTCTCAGTGCCTCTGATCTAGTGAACACAACTGTCCTGAATGTGAAAGAATTGCTAAATTTCTGGTTTCTTTTTCGGTGGCTAGAACAGGTTTATAAGACTTCCTTACTTATCCATGTCTGCTGAAGTTTGAGTTCTTGGTAGTATGATTTTTGTTTATTTCCTTGTAAGGTGAGCGGCTTGCAGAAGACTGGCCTTGTTGCTGAACAAAAAGACGTAAACTTAATTTCTACTCAAAGCAAGCTTGAATTTGAAACTAGGACTTCCACTGTTCCAAAGTTCGACTGTCACTGCCTCAGGCGTGTGTCCTGAAGGGCTCGTGTCTCTGCCATACTTAGGACAAAGTTAAGATGGAGCCCAGCAAACCAGGTCTCCTTCAATTCTAGGTTCCCCCAAGAATTTTCCCCGCTTTAAGAGACTGCATTGAATATATATTTGTTCTGCCTTCGTGTTTTGGCTTTGGAATGATGTGATGCAGTTCAATGGTTCCCACCCCCAAGTTGGTCAGAGTAAGAAACACTTGGGAAGGTCGGTGCAAATACAAGTCCAGTGTCCTCCTTGCAGGAATTCTGATTCAGTGTGCTCAGGTGGGGCCTGGAATTTATTTGTTAACATGACTCAGATGTGCAGTCCGTTTGGGGGACCCTCTGATACCACGGACCTTATAGTTGATGGGATGATTCTATTTTGCTGATGAAGAAACCAAGGCACAGAGAGTCTGCAACTCGCCCAAGTTCCCTTTGCCGTAAGGACTGAAGCCAGATCTCAGGTAGAGTCCCCCTCCCACAAGCCCCATTCCATGTTTTCCAATTCCGTTGTGTGGGTTCTTTCCAAGTAGGTGTTTCTCTTCCCTGTACCTCATTTCTGCCCCCTGCCTCAAAAAAACATGTTGGATTTAATTTGTTTCATCTAATACGTTTCCTCTCAACATGCTGTAAGCAACTTATCTGGCCACTTACTATGTGACATGCCTCTTTTTGAGACAGGGTCTCATTCTGTTACTCAGGCTGAAGTGCAATGGTCTGTACTGCTCACTGCTACCTCAGACTCTTGGGCTCAAGCCATCCTCCTGTCCGAACTTCCCAAGTAGCTGGAACTCTAGGCACACATCACCATTCTGGCTAATGTTTTTATTTTTTGTAGAGATGAGGTCTTGCTATGTTGCTCAGGCTGCTCTCGAACTTCTGGCCTCAAATAATCCTCCCACCTAGGTCTCCAAAAGTGCTGGGATTATAGGAGTGAGCCACTGAACCTGGCCCTAAAAAGCTTTTTTTTTTTTAAATTTTTATTTTTTAAATAAATATATTTAAATAAAAATATAGGGCATGGAGATGTGGAAAGATACGTCTCTGTATTACTTTTGTTATTATTACTTCTAAAGTATAATTCATATATCACAAAATTCTCCACTTTTATGCATACCATTCAGCATCTTTTACTATATTCCAAAGGTTTTGCAGCCATCACCACTACCTAATTTCAGAATACTTTCGTAATGCTGGAAAGAAAGCCTGTACTTACTGGCAGCCACTCTCCAATTCCCCCGTTTTTGCCATCCCTGACAAACACTAATCTACCTTCTGTCTGTATAGATACACTTGTTCTGGGCATTTCCTGTATATGGAATAATGCAACATCGCCTTTTGCATCTGCATCTCTTACTTAGCACAATGTTCTCAAGGGTCATCCTTGCTATAGCATGCATCAGTACTTCAATCCTTTTTGTGGCCAAATGATACTCCATTTTATAGTTATACCACATTTTGTTTACCTGTTCATCAACTGATGGCAGTTTGGAACATTTCCACTTTTTCACTATTATGAATAATGCAGCTATGAACATTTTTATACATGTTTTTGAGTGAGCATCTGATTTTAATTTTCTTGGTTACATACCTAGGAGTGCAATTGCTGCATCATATATGTCTTTATGTTTAAGTTTTTGAGGAACTGACAGACTGTTCCAATCTCAGTGGCTACAGCATTTTACATTCCCATTAGTAATATATGAGGATTCCATTTTCCCCATAACTTTCCAAACATTTGTTGTGTTTTTGTTAACGTCACCCTTGTGGGTCTGAAGTGGTATCTCATTTTGATTTAAGTTTACATTTTCCTAATGAGGAAAAGCATTGAACATCTCTGCATGTGCTTGTTGTATGTATCCTTTACAGAAATGTCTATTCAAACTTTTTTCCCATTTTTAAATTGTCTTTTTTGCTCACTTATATGAAT